CCCCAAAACCCCAAAACCCCAAAACCCCAAAACCCCAAAACCCCAAAACCCCTTTCTGCCAATTTGGGATTGAAATTATTATGAGTTCTTGAAAAAGCACCTAATAAACTCTAAGAACTGATCGCCTTGAGAATGGATACCTTCTTTATAAATATTGGCTAGCTGTTCGACCTTGTCAGTCTCAGTCAGGTACTTGCTCTTGGTCATTGGAATTATCTCATGATGTTCTTCAAACTTCTCTGTGAATTCAGGATGGCATTGGGTTGATAGCATCTGAGAAGACACTCTGATGATGTCGTTGGCTCCATAGTCACATTCACCGAGTACGACAGCCCCTGGTGGAGGCTTAGATACGATCCAGCCATGAGACCTCAAAACTCATATACTGTCATTTTGATAATCCTTGCCGAAGGCTTGTTCAAACTCAGGCATCTCTCTCATATCATCTGTTACTTTAGTTGGGAATTTTCCGAATACCATCGGAGAAGTGAGATCTAACTTTGCACACTCTCCTCCAAGACTAGCTGCGATCAGCTGGTGGCCTGCACAACTTCCAAAAACTTTAATGTTAGGGTAATCAGTGTGTATCAGCTTGATCATCTCTTTGGCCTTGACCAAATACTCAAAATCATCATCTGGGTCATCTTCGTTACCTGGTATGACAAGACCCTTTAGAGATTTAAGCTCGTCTTCATTCGGATATTCTCCATCGAAGCAGTGGTAGACTTTCCAGGTTTCATGATTATCGATCAAGGCAGGAATATACATGCCTGCGTATTGGTATCTCCATTGCTCCCTTGGCTCAGTAAAGAGCATCCCATAAGTGGGTAGAGATACCTTACACATTTTGATTCCATCCGGATTAGATCCGTCTTGCATGCATTGTTCTAGATTAACTAAATAGCTTGTATAATCATCCTGGAGTCCAGTCAGCTCTTGTGCAACCTCAGTGAATAGTTGCTTATCTTTAACCATAAGCTTGCCAACCACAGCAGTCTCCTGCAATGACTCAAAAGTGTGCCAGACAAGTTCTTTAAAGTCAGGATCGTCTTCAGTCCTAAGATCTTGATTGAGTCTGTCACTATCCACATAAAACTTGAGGGGGTAAAACACATTCATTGTCCCATCGGTCTCGTGATGAAGGACTCTATAGTCCTCATTCTTGAAGATGTTCTTGAGGCCTGATTGGTAGCAACCATACAAGTTGTCCACTCCAAAATCTTGGAATGCTTGAACTCCTGCATAACAACTTCCTTCAAATACTCCTTTTGTAGCATTGGTAAACGATCTAATGGCAGCATAGTAGCCGTTCATCTCATATTCGTTCTTCATCGCTCCAAAGTCTGTGAGGACCTCGAGGCCTTCACTGATATCCTTCTGGAACAAGATGACTAATTTGTGAGCATCGTTAAATGTGTACGGGAAGAATCCTATTTGATCAAATCGGCCCATTATTGTTTCAATAATATTTACCCTGTGAGGGGTTTTGGGGTTTTGGGGTTTTGGGGTTTTGGGTTTTTGGGG